AGAGAGAGAGAGAGAGAGAGAGAGAGAGAGAGAGAGAGAGAGAAGAGAGAGAGAGATAGAAAGAGAGAGAGAATGAGAGAACGAATTCAGATTCGAGGCACGAGTTCCCTCGATGACAATTACGAACAAAAGTACGCTGTTAACATGAACAACTATTCAATGCAGAAAGATCGCGTGCGATAATAATAAAAACAAGAGAGCATAATATAACTCATAATCACGTAAAATTCTCATATGTTGTTACATGAATCGCCAAACATTTCATATATATNACGTCGATTCTACACGATCGGTCTCGACGTCAACGGTGGACGACGTCGACGACGCGTACGGAATATTTACGGCCATCGTGCGACTGAGATGTCACATCAAGTAAGCTGCGTGTGTTGCACGACTTACGTGCAAGCTGCACTTGTAAGCTGCACTTGTAAGCTGCACTTGTAAGCTGCACTTGTAAGCTGCACTTGTACTGGCATTTTAGAATCACGACGTCGCGTAACTAGTCACAATACCTCCACCTGCGCGTGCGAGGGAGGGAAGGAAGGCGGAAAAGGGGAGAGATGGAAAGGTGGAGAGAGGGACAGGGGAAGAGGCGGAGAGGGGGAGAGGAGGAGAGGGGGAGAAGAGGAGAGGGGGAGAGGAGGAGAGAGGGAGAGGGGAAGAGGGAGAGATGGGGAGACGGAGGAAAGGGGGAGCAGTACTCACGGTCTGTGGGTAGGAGAGCGGTCGTAGCCGGTCGTAGTCCTCCTGTCCCGCCGTGTCCCACAACCCGAGGTTGATCGGCTTGCCGTCCACCATCACGTTGGCCGAGTAGTTGTCGAACCTGCGGGGCGGCAGCAGCGGAGAAACAAGAGAGCGACATCAAGACCCGACGCCTGCGCGCGCAGCGACGCCCATCGTCACGACGAAGAAGAGGACGCGGGGAGGCAGCGAGCAAGGGACGGCTACGGCGACGACGGTGCGTGGATGCGAAGGGTCGTAAAGATGCAGATGGTCGTCGCAAGCATCCTCACTACGATGAGGGGGATGCGGGGGGGTCATCATGAGGGTCGCCACGGCGACGACAAGGATGCGAGGTGAGTTCCTGGGATCGCTACAACGACGATACGAGAATGCAGGGGGGAACTCATGGGGATGCAGGGGAGTCGTGAGGGTCGCCATGGCGATGCGCCGCGGCTACTAGCATCCCCATTCTCATCAGGCGACGATAATGCGTGGCTGTGCCCCGCGGGACGTCGCGGCGTGCCGTGATAGCGGCCGGAGTAAAGTACGTTAGCGCGTCGTTATAGAATGCCGAGAACATGTCTTTGTGTCTCTGTCTCTGTCTCCCTCTCTTTCGCTCTCGCTCTCTCTCTCTCTCTCTCTC